ACTTAGGACACCCGTGTTGACTTCTTTCCCAGATCTTTGTGGTACAGATTGACAATTTCATCTAGAGGACAACACTGATTCACTGTATAGCTTGAACACCTCTGGATAAGACACATTGAAAAACTGGACTGCTTTACTTCTCAATTTACCATCTAATTCCTACATCAAAGCACTCAAGATCAGATATCTTTCAATGTCAGTTCAAGAAAGTCTGGGACTTTATACTCCATGACTAGAAAAATAAAAGATAAAAACATTTAGAAACCACAAACTGGTTATGAAATGCTCATACATGCTTCTTTCTTTGCATGGTAACACTGAATAATTAGGCATTGTTCAACATCAGATCTACGTTTTTTTACAAACCAGTGTATGAACAAAATATTCTTGCCCATAATCTGATAGTTTGAGGCACAGATCCGACCCCTCCTCCTCATGGACCGGTGACTGATCATCATGGAGGCAGAAACTGAGTCATTATTAGATCGAGGGCAGCCAGACCAGTTTACTTTGCTAAATTATTATATGTAGCTAAATATTATTGTGGGTGGGGCACAAATAGGCCTTCTGGCACACAGATAAATAAAAACTCAAAAAGGGGCATCAAGGATAAAAGGGGCAGGCTATCAAGCAGCCCCCCCATCCTTCCCCCCTCTGCACGGGCAGTTCAGTCGGATTCTAGGAATGACTTAGACGTGAGACGTTTGGGGACTTCTGTGGTTAATCGGAGGCTCGTGAGGCGCTCGCATGCTGCCTCATCAGCACGTGTCTGTCCACTGGGATTGACACTCAACTTTAAAGAAATCCTACAATTTCATGATAGAAAAAACATTCAAAATGCCTTCAAATATTATGACCGGAAATACTTAAAATTATACTGAGAGTAATTGTTTTAAGTTGTTATGAACATAAATTAATATTCTTTTTAGAAAACAAATGCTTACTCTTTCCCATCTCTCGCTACATATACATGCTCATCTTGTCTGAAGCCTGAAAGTCACAAGCATCAAGACAGGAGTCTGAACTTCAGTGTTTTTGTTTAATAAGAAACCAATCAGTAAGATCCATCATGCAAATAACAATTTCCTTAATTTTTTTATTAGTGTAATCCCAGAAAAATATCGTGTCCATTCCAGTTGACGAGGGCTCTGAAGGAGTTGAAATCATGGAGGGTTAAAATACATGAATCTTTATTTATCAGATTAATGATATGATGTAGCATGCGGTATGAGCACAGCAGACTGCTTCCAACATCAGCGTTCAGAGAAGAGACCATGGAACCTTGAAGATTTGACTGCTTGTGTGAGGAATGGTTCAAAATCACTTGTCTTTTCCTCCGTATAGAAGGAAACTTGAATAGTCATTACCATCAGAGACTTTTGTAAAAAGTATGAAATAAATATCAGTCAGCATGTTCCGTAGTTTCTCTTGTTATTAAATTCACTTCTGACCTTGTTTTGGTTTCTTTCTAGGTATGGATTAGTTGGGTTGCTACACCTGGTGGAAATTTCATGTTTATAGCACCTTTAGAAATATTTTAACTGTGAAAAATTTGATGTGTTCAATACTTATTTTACCTGCCATAAATGTTTTTTTAAGTAAATTAGCATGTACACCTTTATTAAATTTTACACACGTTTTGACTGGGTTGTTTATCTAATTGATCAAATATTAAACTCTGCTTGTAAACGCAGCACTGATGTTCCATTTTCCCAACAGACATAGCGGTTGAAACACTGCAACACAAAGGCGGCTCCTCAGCGCAGCCACGCTGCTTTTCATCTGCTTCTCTTTTTTCTACAAATATACCATCAGCGCCAAAACACTCACGGGAAAACTATGAGTCTATTCTCACTGTTAAGACACTCACATTCATTTGAAGGGAGAAGATGATTCCATACAACAGCATTTAAATCTGCACCTATTTATACTGTAGCACACACACTGAAGCTCACTTTAATTTTCTTATTTTATCTTTTCCAAAAAACAGAAAAGTTCTCAGAAGAAACAAGATTTTGTGATTTTAAAATGGATGGATTGCTGTATGTCAGAAAAAGCCTTTCATAGATGGCATATTTTTTTCCACTATCTTTTATTATGTTCTCTTCCATACCACAGATTCTGTCTATAAATGGGTCTAACTAGTGTTTACAACTTTGGGTAAATTGCAGTGTGGCTGTTCTGTGTAACTTCAACTGTTGTACAAATCTGACCTCTGTCAGAGACTCTCAGGGCGATTATACACTGATTGTGAAACATTGTGAAATTGTGACAAAGGCTCTCCTCGTGGTTTTAAAGTTTTAGATGAGCAAAAGATGCCAAGTTTTACAGTAGACAGTAGTCATATGCCATAGAAACCTCTTTCCACTTTATGAATGCATTTCATTTTCTTTAAATGATCCTTCCAATGATTCAAAGAAAAATAAAAGAATAAAAAAATATTCTGTTGGTTGAAAAGACAAAAAGGAACAATTTGGAAGCTGCATGCCATGACAGACAGTGAAAACTAAGAGCATTACAGAAGCATAGAAGAACAGATTCAGACACAGTGGCGTTAGATTTATGGTTGCTTTGCTGTGCCAGGACATGAACCACTGGTCATTATTTGCACCATGAATTTTGCTGTCTGCCTATGATCAGGAAGGAGGTTCCAAAGGACAAGCTCCACCCCTCAATGGTTGAGAAAAAAAACTAAATGAATGTTTTGAAGTGGCCAAGTCAAGCCCTGAACTCAGATTTGAGCTACCTTAAAACAGGCAATTCATGTTCAAAATCTGTCAGGATTTGAATTTTCTGTGTGTTTATTTTGAGTTTCTGTGTCTCCGTGATGTCCTGTCTCCCCTTGATCATTCCCAGGTGTGTCTCGTTTCTGTGATTTAACCCCACCTGTGCTCTTTGTTCCTCATCGGGTCCTTGTCTCAGCTGTCGATTCAGTCGTCAGTCATTTGTCATCGTGTGCTGTCTATTCTGTCCATCTGTAAAACCTGTTGCTACCAGTGCTGAGCCTTTGCTTTCCGCTCTGCTTTCCGCTCTGCTGTGCTGGCAGGATTTTTGGACTGTTTGGATCTGTGTTGTACCATCAACCATCATTTTTCATCTCATCCTGTGTGTATAGCATCTGTCTCACCACCTCTCACTACATTTCATGACAAAATCTTTCTAATGTGGTTTGATTAAAACTATTCTGCAGAAAAGGATGGACCAAGATTTGTCTATAGTAGGGGTGGGCACTCCTGGTCCTGCAACTCTTGGATGTCTCCCTGGTCCAACACACCTGAATCCAACAGCTGAATCACCTCCTACAAGCAGTCAAGTTCTCCAGAGTCCTGCTAATGACCTCATTATTTCACTCAGGTTTGTTGAAGTAGAGATACACCTAAAGGTTGCAGGAGACCGGCCCTTGAGGACCAGGAGTGCCCACCCCTGGTCTACAGTGATGTCAAGAACTTTTTCCCTGATCCCAGATGCTTGATGTCAGTTGTTGCTGCTGAGCAGCTCAGAGAAGCAAGAACAATTACTGGTTTAGGGTTAGGGTGTCTAACTCCAGTCCTCGAGGGCCGGTGTCCTGCAACTTTTAGATGTGCCTGTGCTGCACCACGTGAATACAATAATTAGATAATTAAGGCTCTGGAGATGTTATCTAGACAAGGAGGAGGTAATTAAGTCATTTCATTCCAGTGTTTTGTACTTGTGGCACATGGAAAAACTACAGGAAGGAGGCCCTTGAGGACTGGAGTTTGACACCTGTGGTCTAGGGGTTTACTACTTTTCCACATAGAGATGGTTTTTAAAAATGAATAAATTATTAGACTGTAATTATAAAATTGAGATTTGTGTTTGCTCAGGCTATATTTGATTATCAAATTTGTTGGGTTTGACAAAAAAGGAAAAACAGGAGAAAACTGCAAGTGGGGAATACTTTTGTGTTAGTCTTTGTCCGACGCTTTTTGCTTTAGCTAATTGAGAAATAATTGCTTCCTGAAGCTGTGGGCTGTATTTAAGTTTTAAATTTTATGTCCGAGATGTATGTAGTGCACCAGTGCGAGGTTATGAAAGCGCTGCGGACTGAAAATGGCCTGAAGTGCAAACAACTATCCTCCACTGCGAATAGAGAAGTGCGAACAAGACGACTGTTAATATTAACTCAATATTTGGAAGAGTCGCAAACACAGACAGCTTTGTTCACTTCCTCTGCTACCATTGTTAAAAATACAGACAGACTACAATTCTAAAACAACAACAAAAATTTATGCCATCATTCACAATTTCTCCTTGTTGCTGATTGGTCTGGTCAAAAGTCGATCGGAGGCAAACTGAGTCAAGAGGAGAAAGCCCAGACTGTGACTGCGTGGAGGAGAATCCCTGAGGCTATATTGAAAAATCCACATTTCCATGTCAGCTCAGCACTTTCAAAGTATCAAAAAGACAAAAAGGATTGCAACCTACAAGATGTATCAAAGCCTGCAGAGACCAGCTTACCATCTCTTTAATATTTAAAAGTATCAGGACATAAGGCCATTTCTTTCAGCCTAATAAGAGGCTGAAAAAAACTGCCTTTCAAATCAAGCCCTCTCCCCCCAGGTTGATTTATAAGATCAACTGGATTTATCAGATCAGCATGTTATATGCAAACTGCACACTGTGAAACTCCAGCAACAGACATTGGTAGGGGGAACAAAGCACTGCTGTTTTCCACAGCTCCTCAGGCCCCTATTACACCTTGGTGCCAACACAGCAGTTATCGACTCCCAGTAGAATTAGTAGAACTGGATCACTGCCTGAAGCTTGGGGCCTGAAGCAAATGCTAAGAGATTATAAAGCTGAAGAAAGGACGTTGTTTGAGCAAAATCTCCTAAACATATGGCTGTTTAAGTGGTGAGACGATGGAATAAAGTCCATCCAATTGAGACCCAATGCTTAAAACAAGAGCAAGCAATTAGTTTTCTTTATTTTCATACTAAACAACTGCCACAGAGGAACATGCCAAAGCTGTAACTTACCGTCAGGAGTTCTTTCTGGAAGGACTTTCTCTCTTTGCTCTCTGCATTGTTGCAGTCCTCCTTTAGCCTCTCCAGGACCGACGCCACCCTCTCTGGCTCACTGTCGAGCTCCGTGCGGCAGAAATGTGTCAGGGGCAGGTTGACGTATCCAAGAGCGTCCGCGAAAACTCGCCAGTTGCCGATGTTCTCCATCAGTATAGTTCTTACTGAGGCATAGATGTATGTGAGGAACTTGCAGGGCTTCAGTATTTGCTCCAGTAACAATGAGGTTGTAAGTTCAGGCCCGCTGATATTAGTGGGCTTTATCTTGCCAACTATCAGAACATTCTTAGCGTGAACAAGCCCTATTTTGCCCTGATAATACCCAATGTACCACTCTTTTGTCCACAACTGGCCTTTCAGCTTGATCATCTCCTCGCTCAGAAGGGCTACAAAGTCTCCTTTTTTGTATTCAAGCAAGTACTGGTTTTTCATTTGCCTGATTACAGTTTTGATTAATTTCCCAAACTTTAGGTTGTTTATTTTCCTGTCCTGGAAAACAGGGTATTTGGTTGCAACAGCAAGAGGAGACAAAACTATTTTCCCTAACTCCTTTTTCTTCAGGAATCGGCGCTGCACTGATGTCTTTGGACCTGCTTTAGGTGGCGGTGTTGGTGTTTGGACACAAAACTGAGCAAGGATACAATCTTGGTCATCTTTGACTTGGATTCTTAGAGTGAAATCTGAAACATCGTCAGCATCCCGAGTGGAAATCATGTAGATCAACCTGCTGACTTTCCCTAATCTAACCTGGAAGCCCCGGACCACTCTGGCCTGCTCACTGGCTTTCACCTCATAGTTAGCCATGTTGGAGTAAACCTCAACATGGAGGTCTTGAGGTTTTGACAAGACAAATTGATGTTTTCCCCAAAGCTGCAGGGCAACAGGTGGTGCAGACTGTGCCTGTTTACCCACCTCGCTCACCAACAGGGTCTTTGGAGCACATTCATGGCCAAACATGGCCACCACAGTTTTGAAGGCTGGGTGGATGTGTTTTGGACCATAAACTCCTAAGGTAATCTTTTTAACAACATGCTCCCAGACTGTTGTTTCAGGTTGTACAGACAGTGCCTGGGTGACCACACATACATACATGCATGGCTCAAGGTTATCCAGGCCCACCTGAACCATGTCCCCATAGGTGTAGGCCTGAGGAATGGGGGTATATGGCCCCTCTTTACAATCACTCCTCACGCATAAAACTTGTGTTGTCTGCCTGTTTTCCATTTTTACAACAACAGATACTTTCATCTCCAGGGTGATGGTGGTTTTGGTCTCCATGTTGCTGAGTTTGATCTCTACCACAGGGCTGACAGTGGTACAGCGATCACTGTTCAGTTCAAGTGGTGAGTCGAGCAGAGCTTTGATTGAGATTTGTTGTGTGTCCCCTGCTGCCACATGGCCCTTTGGCACAAAGATGCTAATGTTGGTGTCTGGAAGCTGCACTGCTCCTCCTGAGCTGTCCAGACGACAGACGATGTTGGTTTCTACCGGCTGTGTTTGACCCCAGCCAGGGCTCTGACCCAGTGAATCCAGGTCATGGCAGGACCTGGCCAACTTGCGATGGCTGAGCCATGCTGCGCGGAAGTCCTCCCTCGTCTGGAACTGCTCGGGTGCAGGTGCTGTGAGACCTCTGAAGAAACTGTTGGAGGCTTGAGGAATTTCTGTCTGAGCCTGAAGGACGGACAGTTCAGACAGGCTGTAGGAACGCTTGCTTCTAAAAAACGGGTTGTCTCTTTGAAATGTTTGCCCCACAACCACAGAGGGACTAAGAGTGTTCAAACTACAGACATAGCTGGAAAAACAATTGTCTCCAGTGTTTCTGGTAGAATTAGGGCCAGAAGAAGAGAGTGTATCAAACAGAAGAAGGTCAATTGATTTCTCTTTTATTGTCTGATCCAAGGAACTCTGAGAAGCCCTGTTTAGAAAAGGATTTGTAGAGGTATGGGTTGTTGCAAAAGGATTTCCATTTTGAAAAGTGGTCGGTTTTAGAATTTCTCCGGTCCACTCTCCTAACAGGTCCATTTCTTTAGCTCCCTCCTCGTTACAGTCTGATACTGTGTCTATCATCCCGCTGTCGCTGAAGGACGAGTCTCTGTAGTTGATGGGTTCCACATAGGCTGCGGGGATGTAACCCATTTCTGTATTGTTGTGAGCATACCACCACTCACCCCCAGATGAGTCAAGAACATAGAGGAGGTCGCCCTTAGAGAACTTGAGAGTGGTGAAGCTGGATGGGCAGTAGTCCTTTATGGCTACAACTTCCCTGGCAGCACCAAAAGAAGCAGTGGTATCCAGTCGTAAGGCACTAGGAGAAGGCACTAAAAAAGACAGCAAAAAGAGATTGGTTTTCTTTTCCCACAATGCTGTGACAATCAGTGAATAAAAAATAAGTTGTTTCACATACAAAGAGTTTAAAAGTATTCATGCCCCTTGGGCTTTCAGGGGTTTTTTCCACATTGCAACCACCAACTTCAATGCATTTCATAGGAGCAAGACCAATGTTCTTTGAGTGCAACATGTTTTTTTATCTTCAGCCCCAAGAATAACTATTTGTAGACCCAACTTGTACTGCAGTTAGAGCTGCAAGTTATTTGGAGTATGTCTAGAGCAGCTTTGAACATTGAAAGTGAAATGTTTGGGCATTCTTTCTCATGCTTGATCCAATTACACAGAGAGGATCTGTAAACATCTATTGCTATCAAGGATTCTCATTTGGATTTACAACCCCACTTGAAATCTAGAGTCAGTTGAGTTCATTACAAAGACATGTAATATTCAAATGGATAAACGTTGCTGTTTTTTATTTATTAATTTATTCTCTTCTGTCCAAATATTCGCTCATTTGGAATTTGATGTCTGCAATACGCCCCAAAAAAGTTGCGACAGGAACAACTAAGTCACTTAAATACAGGCCTGGTAACAGTTATCATATTAGCAGATTCTCCAAGCTGAGTTGCAGCATTGAGCTACCAAGGTGATTAATGCTCCATCGCTGGTCACTTAGTACAGATGCAAAATATAAAAATAAAAAAACTTTATTTGATCAGAATCTTGTTTTTATAGGTTTTTAGGTGCATCATATCTTGGACTGAGTAAACAGAACAAACTTGGATATTGTTTTATGACCTTACTCTGCTTTTACTATCTTTTCACATTTCAAACCAAAGCTGTGTTTCTCAGTCTTCATGATGCTCTTTGATCACTCATCTTCTCTAGCAAACCTCTGGGACTGAAAACAGAACAGCTGTATTCATACTGAGATTAGATTTTACATGGTTGCTCTAGATTTACAAATTAAGTGATTTCTGACAGCAGTTGGTTGCACTGAATTGTTCACAAAATAAAGGGGACTGAACACATTTTCTTGCTTTTACTTTTAAAATACTTTTAGATTTTTATTTGTACAAAACATGAGCATCTTAGTTATATGTGAGATGAAATTACAAAATGTGAACAGTTTAAAGTTGGGTTTTGGGTTGAGATTTTGTTTTCTGTTTTTCTTAGTTCATCAGTTATGTCCTCGTTCCTTTTTGTTACAACCTTCTTCTTTCTAATTTCATCATTTTCACTTATTTCTGTTAGATTTGCCTCATTTTTGTGTTCATATAGCCCTGGTCCTTGTCTGGCTCTCACCTCCTGGTACTAAAGCCTCTCATTTTCTTCCTGTACTTGTCAGATCCTCCCTCCCGTCTGTTCGTGTCAGCCCCTTGTGCTTTCTTATGTTCGACTTGTGTCTTCTGGCTAGAACTGTTTTGCATTTATTTTTTGTCTTCATCCTGATTTGTGGAACTTTTGTAGTTTTCAGTATTTTTATTTTTTTTTCATTATATCATGAAATTAAACTTCTGCCTCCACCTCTCTGTGGTTGTGTCCAACACTACACCAACCTGCATCATGACACTTTAGTTAGTATGAATGTCTTTACTAGGCAATGTACACCTAAACTACACTCAACAAAAATATAAACGCAACACTTTTGTTTTTGCTCTCATTTTTCATGAGATGGACTCAAACATCTAAAATTCATTCCAGATAAACAATATTACCATTTCTTTCAAATGTTGTCCACAGATCTGTCTAAATGTTTGATAGTGAGCACTTCTGCTTTGCTGAGATAATCCATCCCACCTCATAGGTGTGCCACATCAAGATGCTGATCTGATATCATGATTAGTGCAAAGGTGTACCTTATACTGCCCACAATAGAAGGCCACTCTGACATGTGTAGGTTTGTCAGACAGCAAAATGCCACAGATTCCGCAAGCATTGAGGGAGCGTGCAATTGGCATGCTGACAGCAGGAATGTCAACCAGATCTGTTGCTCGTGCATTAAATGTTCATTTGTCCACCATAAGCCGTCTCCAAAGGCGTTTCAGAGAATATGGCAGTACATCCAACCGGCCTCACAACCACAGATCACGTGTAACCACACCAGCCCAGGACCTCCACATCCTGCAGGTTCACCTCCAAGCTCATCTGAGACCAGCCACTCAGACAGCTGCTGAAATAATTGGATTGCATAAGCAAAAAATTTCTGCAAACTGTCAGAAACCGTCTCAGGGAAGCTCAGCTGCATGCTAGTCGTTCTCATCGGGTCTTAACCTGACTCCAGATCGTCGCTGTAACAGACTTGCTCACATTCGATGGCATCAAGCACATTGGAGAGGTGTTCTCTTCACGGATGAATCTCGGTTTACATTGTTCAGGGCAGATGGCAGACAGCGTGTGTGACGTTGTGTGGGTGAGCGCTTTGCTGATCCCAATGTTGTGGATCAAGTGGCCCATGGTGGTGGTGGGGTGATGGTATGGGCAGGCATCTGTTATGGACGAAGAACGCAGGTGCATCTTATTGATGGCATTTTGAATGCACAGAGATACCGTGATGAGATCCTGAGGCACATTGTTGTGCCATACATCCATGAACATCACCTCATGTTTCAGCAAGACAATGTACGGCCCCATGTTGCAAGCATCTGTACACAATTCTTGGAAGCTGAAAATGTCCCAGTTCTTGCATGGCCAGCATACTCACCGGACATGTCACCCATTGAGCATGTTTGGGATGTGCTTGACCGGCGTATCCGAAAGTGTGTACCAGTTTCCACTAATATCCAGCAACTTCGCACAGCCATTGAAGAGAGTGGACCAACATTCCACAGGCCACGATTGAAAATCTGATAAACTCGATGCAAAGAAGATTTGTTGCACTGCATGAGGCAAATGGTGGTCACACCAGCTACTGACTGGTTCTGAGTCCCCAGAAACCCAATAAAGCAAAAATAAAAATGCACATTTCAGAGTGGCCTTTTGTTGTGGGCAGTATAAGGTACACCTGTGCACTAATCATGATGTCAGATCAGCATCTTGATGTGGCACACTTATTATCTCAGCAAAGCAGAAGTGCTCACAATCAAACATTTAGACAGATTTGTGGACAACATTTGAAAGAAATGGTAATGTTTATCTGGAATGAAGTTTAGATGTTTGAGTCCATCTCATGAAAAATGGGAGCAAAAACAAAAGTGTTGTGTTTATATTTTTGTTGAGTGTATATTTGAACAGTTGTAATATCAAAGTCCTTAGTGTTTATCATCAATGTAGAATGAATTCTTCCTTAAATTGATGTTTAGAGCATATTAACATATTTAATGTTTTTAACACCATTTTTTTCCTAAAATATACAAATTGTTCCAATCTATAGTTCAATCAAAAGAAGTTGAACAAAGAAACACAGTTTTATGATGTGGAATGCTGACCTTTGACATCTGTCAGACGAGCCTCCGACACTCCCTCACTGAGATCGACGAGTGTCCCCTCCGATTTGCAGCGAGGAAGAGAAGCGTTGTTGTTGGCTCTGATTCTATGAGCGGCCATGATGTAGTGACTTCCACGACTCTGCCAGGGCACTTTTTATCTCCAGGCAATAATGGATGTCAGCAGCTGACCAGGCTCTCTGAAAAACAATTCGAAATGATAGCAATTTACATTATCAGTGAGTGTTCAGTTTGAAAGTAAGTACTGATGTTTGAATTATTTTGCAGAGCATTTCAACCCACTTTGAAAATTGTCAGCTCATTCTGTGTGTGTTCAGTAGGGAGCTTAAGGGCCTTCAAAGATGTGCTTCTTTTTCAGGAGTTTCATGTACAGAACTGGCATATAAAAGTAAACAGATTTAAAAATTTATGCCAGCTTGAATATATTAGGGATTTTAAATGTGTGCATTTCTGTTATTTGCTCAGATAAATCTAACTTTTCTTAATATGTAACCCTTGAAATGGTATTAGTATAAACATAATCATAACTCACACAAGGGCAATACATAGTATTTATTCTTCCATGATAATGATAGATGATATGATAAATTGCCCATTTCTACCATGGTGTACCATCCTCTGATGCCTACTTCCAGCAGGATAAGGTATCCTACCAAAAAACTCAAATCTCTTTACTGACAAGAAATTCAATGCATTTCAATGGTCTCCATAGATACCAGATCTCAATTTAATAAAAAAAAAAAAAAAAAGTGTGATGTGAGGGAACAGGAAACAGCAACTAAGGGAAGTTTCAACATTGACCAAAATCTTGTTGGAAAGGTCTCACACCTCGTTCTAACTATGTTATAGACAACATTAATATAACTTTTAGATATTGCTGCCCTGCGATTGACAGACACCAGCACCCCTTGTTACTCTGCAAGGCTAAGCATCCTATAATGGATGGATTTTGTTCTATTATTTTAGCATCAGTAGGAATAATTATGGATTCTCCGTATCAAATAAAAGCAATAGGAAATTTTTATAGTAGGCCATGCCTTGAACTTCACGATTCAAAAAGATCCTGAATACTGAAGAATAGTCAGGACTGTTCTGTGGAACATTACTCCAAGTTACTTTGGAAAACCCTGTCAAATATTTGAAAGTATAGGAAGCTGAAGTATTTAAGCGCAATGTTAAATAATAAGTAAGCAATCCAGGAATGGTAATTATTTTCCTTGAAGTTGATAGGCTGTACCCTCAACAGCAAAGAAAAGGATTATAGATTATAGATGTTAGTTTCTACTGTGTATTAATGCAAGTTAAAGTAAATTTGCTTTTTGACCTACTAAAATAGGCAGGGTTAGGGTTTGGGTTAAGCACTTTCAGAGGAGATCTCAATGTTCACGTATTTCAGCTATTGGTGGTCGTTCCTAATTCCTGTTCATTCCCGTGGATCCTGCAAGGCTCTAGCTGAACTCCAGCTCAGTCGCTGAATATTTTGATAGTCTAAGTAAAGAAAGCTTATATGGTAGAGGTTGAATAAAATGTACCAAGCAGATATGGGTCAATGGAACAAAGCAGCCTGACATATCTCAAACCTGTAACTTTAATTTATAACTGTGACAGCCCACAGGTGGATATGTATCGTCAATAGGGTCCCCCACACCGGTCCTGATGCTGATGTATATGTTGATTCTTCTTGTTTGGAGCTGAATAAAACCTTCAAGGTATATCTTGTGACACAACTAAATCACTTTGTTCCACTGAAGAAAAAGAGAACTATGTGCTTATGGAGTCATATTACTGTTGAGATATTTCCACTGCTGTAAATAAAACACATGCCTCATGCAGAAGAAGTGATGAGAGTAAAACAATCAGGAGCTCAGTAACAACTTCCCTTTTTAAAGTGTTTCAGCTTGCAAAAGAGGAATTCATGTATTGAAAGTTCTCTTTAATTTTTGTTGGTATTTAGCTCTCCACCCATTATCTGAACATGAGTAGCTAAGCTTTTTGTCATCCAATAGGGTTGCTGCTGCGTGTCCTCCACTCTGAGCATTCCACCACCTCTGTGCTGTCACAGTTCTAAATTAAAGTTAAAGTTTTAAGAGAGACAGACATGACAAAAACACACAAACAATATTATCACCCTCATTTTCTAAGGATTAAACCTTGGGTATACCACATGTAACTTCTGTCCACTTCCATGAGAAGTTACTTATTGAAACAAAGAAATCCCTGTTCTTCATGTAAGATTTGAATCATTTGGCCGCAATTCTCTAACCCAGCCAGAGACTCAGACACAACTCACCAGTCGATTCATTAATATGTCGTAATCAACAGTGTCAAAAGCTGCACTGAGGTCCAACAGAACCAGCACTGTGGTTCTTCTATAGTCTGTATTCAGATGGATGTCACTGAATACTTTGACTAGGGCAGTCTCAGTACTGTGGAAACTAGAGTGATAGATATTAAAGCAGTTGGTTATTGTTAGGAAGCTACTTAACTGTTGAAACAGTTTTTCAATGACTTTGCTGATGAATGGGAGGTCAGAGGTCAGAGGTCGGCCTGTAATTTTGCAGCAGTGATTTGTCCAGATTGTTCTTTTTAATCAGTGGTTTGATAACTGCTGTTTTTAAAGCCTGAGGGAAAACGCCTGATGTGAGTGGTGAGTTACTATTTGGATCAGAGCAACAGCAGGCAGAATTTCGAAAGAAAAGTTGTTGGTATGATATCGAGATAGCAGGAAGAGGAGCTTAATTGAGTTGTAATTTCTTCTACGCTTTAATAGTTAAGTACTTGAGTCTTTTTTTTCTGCAGTTGTTATGATTGGTGCCATTATTGGCACTGGTACCGGATCTATCTGGTGACTGCACTGTGGCACACACCACAAAAATAAGGGAGGCCTGGGGGTAACAATCCCTGGACCTGAACCTTTCTAAAATCCGTTCTTGCTCAATAAACAGCAGGTTTAAAATCACACATTGGTTACAGTATTCAAAGGTCAGATTACACAGAATTTACCCCTCTGCCTTCCCAATGTGTGACAGGTGGAACAAATCAGAAAGCACTCTGTCTCATGTTTTTTGGTCTTGCCTTTCACTAACTGGTCTTTGATTGGAAATATTTGATTGGTACTCCAAAGCATATAAGACTTCCTTACAACCTGAACCAGGACTTATAATTTTTGGATGCCCTCAAGTGCCGGGGACGATACCCGCTGCAATGTGGCATTTAGTGGAACTGGGACTGATTGTTGCCAAGAGACTAATCTTGAGAGACGGGAGGTCCTCTGTTCCTCCTTCCTTCTACTTGTGGATGACAGACACAATGTCCATAATACAGATGGACAGACTTCTTAAAGGCTCTAAAGACACATGTTTGTGTTTCCTGGCATCCCTTCCTGGAACACTTTACAAAGACCAGACTAAGCTGAACAAACTCTTCCATGGACTCTCCCCTCAGTCGCCCACTAATGTATGTATACTCTTGTATGTGACCATGTATATATGTGTTGTGTGTACACCATATGTCAACTGCAATGTTTTATGCTTTGACCTGTGCATTTGGGCCCTGTTTTTTAATCTGCATGTTCTAAACTTAGAAAACTTTACATTTATAATAATAAAAAAATCTCCAGAGGTTCCAGGAGGAACCAGAGGGTCTGAGGGCCAGATCATAACCAGCCTTCTTTAATAGGGTGTTCAGCCTTTTTAGATCTTTGGCTCTGATGCTGCTGCCCCAACAGATGATGGCAGATTCATAATAATTCAGCACACTAATAGTTGCCCAATAATTGTGCACACATAGATATTGTCCTAAGAAAGACCAAACCTTACCATTATTTTCTTAAATATTCATGTTTCAGAGGTTATTAAGATTATGGACAAGAGGGCTGCGGTTGTTAAACAATAACATGAATCTTCAAAACTACAACTTGGGTGATAATTCTGACCGGTTCGTAGTGTTCCTCTCCTGATCTGTTCTGTCTCATATAATACAGCCCATCATGTACCAACATATAGCCAACACAGTAGAAACTGCCTGTATTCATCTTCACTAATACTCCTCAGTCTGGGATTTACTTCTTCTCTATCATGACTATATCTTTACAAAAGTGCTTGTCTCTAATGACTTGGCGGAGTTTAGTGTGAATATTTTAAAGCTTTGCTATTTTGCAAAATTAACTTTTTTGCATGTTTTTTTTTTGCGATAAAATGCTATAAAATGCTTTTTTTCAAGCATTTTTTGCTGCTTGAAACAGTCCAAGAGCAAACAAAAAGAACACTCAACTGTTTATAGGTAATAAGTAAATGTTCTGCAGGTGTCTGTAAAACAACTAGTAACAAAAAATCTCTCACTTTCTTCAAATCTAACAAAATTGGTGTCAAACATTTGCACCACGAATGTGCTGGTTTGTGCAGCAAAGCTTTTAGTTTGTGATGCTTTGGTTATTGATTATTAAGGGAAATTTAAAGGTCAACCAGCCCCCATAAAACCCATATCCAACAAAATTGGTGTCAAATGTTATGCTACATTTGTGCTTTCCTAAAGCGCAATATTTATGGCATATGGTAGAAACGGTAGAAATTTGGCATGTGATAGATGTGAAGACTCCTGGCTAACTGCAGTAATGCTTGTTGTTGATGTAACCAGCTGGAAAGAATACAAAGCAAGTGGGAAGCAGCGTGGCTGAGAGTGCAGGGGAAGAGTTTGTTAAAAAGGCAGTTAAAAAAACGTTCATCATTTCGACCTGGTTTGGGTATAACCTCTCAGTCTTAGTGCGACTGTCAGGAGGAGGGTGGCAGGTGTCACATTTGCCATCCTCAGGACAATGGGAAAGAGAGGAGTAATGCAGGATCGGTCACCCTTACTGGGACACGCAAAGTTTAAAGCAAATGTCACGTTCAGACTGCGGGGAAGAGGTGTGGGGCGGCACTTCCCCGTGTCCAAAGCCACACCCAAAACATTTTTTAAGAATTCTAAAAAGTGCACAGAGTAAAACAACTTTTGGGATTTTTAACATGGACACTTTCAACAGTGTCCCTGTTGAAACAGGGACACTTTGTGAAAACAAAAGTGTTTTAACTAATGATGAAGAGGCAGATGATTCTACTTCTTGGAATAGAATCACTTGAAGGAAAGTGATGGGGATGTACATCTGAAGGAGAGGTCAGATGTGTTTATGATGTGTTTATGC